TGAAAACAATTTCTACCCAAAGATTGAATCATCTATCAACTACAAGCCCGACAGGGGAAGATATTGATGTCTGTGTACCTTTCATTTTAAACAATATTTACAGTTCAGTGTTTCTCTGAACAAGAAGCCTTGAGGTAGCCCGTACGTGAAAATTCCCATCACTATGGTAACCAGAAATGGCAATGATTGCACAGTGATTCATCATGTACCCCAAACAGAAATTGTTTGCCAGGGACAGAGAAACAACTCAAAGCCACGCTTTATTGGAAAAGAACCCAGTTAAAGAATAACCTGGGGTGGTAGTTGTTTTTAAGTTTTTGTCAAATTTTTGGGGCGCCTGGGTGGCGCAGTCGGTTAAGCGTCCAACTTCAGCCAGGTCACGATCTCGCGGTCCGTGAGTTCGAGCCCCGCGTCGGGCTCTGGGCTGATGGCTCAGAGCCTGGAGCCTGTTTCCGATTCTGTGTCTCCCTCTCTCTCTGCCCCTCCCCCGTTCATGCTCTGTCTCTCTCTGTCCCAAAAAATAAATAAACGTTGAAAAAAAAAATTAAAAAAAAAAAAAGTTTTTGTCAAATTTTTATACTTTTACGTCAGGGCATCTATCTTAATACTAACTCCAGTTCAAAGAGGTAATTAATATGTCTCCTAAAGAAATGTTCATGAAATTTATTCATTCACTCATTCAATAAATGATTTGCACAAAGTAGGTGTCCTCCATGGTAGGTGCTATGCGAGTAATATGCGAGGGGCATATTACTATGAACAAGATAGCAGGAGGCCTGCCTCACTGAGCTTTCAGCATGACTAATAAGCAAATAGGCAACAAGGAGATTGTGTGATACACGGTTTGCTGCCTGAAGTACAGTGTGCTCTGGGTACCTGGGGCACACATAACTTCCCACAGGAAATCATGACTAAGCTGAAACCTGACACAAGAGGATGAGCTAACCAATCAAAGCAAGGTGGAGAGGTGTGCAGGCCTCACAGGGAGCCAGACAGAGGAAGAAGCAGGCATAAAGTTCTGAAGAGTGGAAAACAAGGCATATTGAGGAATCAAGGTAGTTCTGTGTGGCTGAAACATGGGATTTTAGGCATGGTAGTAGAGAGAAAATGAAAATGGAGAGATGCAAAGGAGTCAGGAAGCACAACGTGAAGGGGCTTGCACCTAAAGACCCAGCAATTACATAGAATGAACTATTGCTGCAAGTACAGAATGGGCAACTATCACAGACATAATGTAAAGCAAAAGAGTATATACTGTATGACTCCATTTAGATGAAATTCAAAACTAGGCAAAACTAGTCAATGAAATAGAGATCCAAAAATGGGACAGGATACTGACTTTGAACAGGATGTAAAAAGGGACTCTTGGGTGCCAGAAATGTTCTACATCCATCTGAGCAGCAGTTAAACTGGTAATATGTAGACAAAAATTTATCAAGCTTGTACTTACAGTTTCTTCACATTGCCTTAAACAAATTGTGCCTCAATAAAAAGGGCAAAAATCATATAACAAAAAATGGGGCACTAGGGTGGCTCAGTTGGTTGAGCACCTGACTCTTGATTTCAGTTCAGGTCATGATCTCAGGGTCGTGGGATGGAGCCCCACATCAGGCTCCATGCTGAATGTGGAGCTTGCTTGGGACTGTCTCTCTCTGTCCCTCTGCCCTTCTCCCATTCTTGTGTGCGCTCTCTCTCTCAAAATAATAATAATAACAATAATAATAATAAAATAATTTTTTCAATTTTTAAAAAGTATAACAAAAATGACTTGATATATTGGAAAATGGCCTATTTATACAAATCAAAAGGATCAATGATTTCTAGAGAAAATTAATAAAGAAACTTAAGATAAAAGAAAATTGGGGCACCTGGGTAGCTAAGGTGGTTAAGCCAGTCGGTTAAGCATCCAACTTCAGCTCAGGTCATGATCTGATGGTCCGTAAGTTCAAGCCCCTGCATCAGGCTCCACACTAGCAGTGCAAGCCTGCTTTGGATTCTCACTCTCTCCTGTCTCTCTCTGCCCCTCCCCTGCTCACACTTTCTCTCTCTCAAAGTAAGTAAATAAAAACTTTAAAAAGAGATAAAGGAAAAAATTTTTTAATGAAGAGGAGTTTGGGTTTTATCATTTGTGCAATGCGGATTAAGATAGGTCTTAATCATAATATTTTCCTTATAGAAAAATCATATACATATACATACTACACACAAACCCATAATATGCACCTATAGTAAACATAATCATCTAATGTAAGACAGTATTACAGTACCTACCCTGAGGATAAAATCAAGGTAGAAATACACAAAGACTTGGGGTGCCTGGGTGGCTCAGTTGGTTGAGCGACCAACTTTGGCTCAGGTCATGATCTCATGGTTTGTGAGTTCGAGCTAACAGCTCAGAGCCTGGACCCTGCTTCTGATTCTGTGTCTCCCTCTCCTTCTGCCCCTCCCCACTCATGCTCTGTCTCTCTCTGTCTCAGAAATAAATAAACATTAAAAAAATTAAAAACAAAAGAAATACACAAAGACTTCAACTACATTGCTGAAGTTTTAAGCTAGGTGTGCATACATAGGTATTTGCTATAGTATTCTTATACCTTTTTTGTACATATTAAATATTTTATCTTTTCCATAACTAAAAAGAAATCCACTCTCTGCAGTGTGAAGCAATGAAAGGAGTGCTGTAGGGATCCAGGCATGAAATGATGGTTACTTGTCTACTCTAGGGGCTGTGAAGATGTAGGGAAAAAGACCTCCAGGAGAGACGTGGAAAGTAAATCACCAGCATTTGGTAACTGAACAGATGTAGACATAAGGGAGAGCAAGGAGACAGGTTTCTGCTTGACCAATTAAATGGATGGGGTTGCCATTTATTAAGATGGGGAAACACAAAGATGAGCAAGATTTGAGACAGGGTGAGAGGAAAACAATGAGTTCAGTTTCTGACAAGGTGACTTTGAAATGTCTCCAAATGAAGATTTCTAAGAACACTCAAAACTAGAGTCCAAAGATCAGAATGAGAACTGAGTTAAGGATAGACTGGAAAGCCATCAGCTTTCAGCTTTCAGCTTTCAGCTTTCAGCTAATGACTGAAGCCACAGACTTGGACAAGACTCCAGGGAGAAATTGGGGTGCCTGGGTGGCTCAGTCAGTTAGGCATCTGACTTCAGCTCTGGTTGTGATCTCGCTGGTCACAAGTTCAAGCCCTACTTCAGGCTCTGTGCTAACAGCTCAGAGTGTGGAGCCTACTTCAGATTCTGTCTCCCTCTCTCTCTGCCCCTCCCCTACTTGCTCTCTTTCTCTCTCTTTCTGTCTCCAAAACAAATAAACACATTTTTTTAAAAAAGACTCCAGAGAGAAAGTGGGGAGTTAGCCCAGAAATGAGAGTTTAGGAGGGAAATTTAAGGCAGAAGAGGAGTCACGACAGAGACAGAAAGAGAAACCGAAGGGGTGCCTGGGTGGCTCAGTTGGTTAAGTGTCTGACTTCCACTCAGGTCATGATCTCACCACTCATGAGTTCAAGCCCCGCATCAGGCTCTGTGCTGACAACTCAGAGCCTGGGGCCTGCTTCAGATTCTGTCCCTCTCTCTCTGCCCTGCCCTGCTCACACTCTTCCTTTCTCTCTAAAAAATAAATGAACATTAAAAAGAGATAGAAAGAAAGAAAGAAAGAAAGAAAGAAAGAAAGAAAGAAAGAAAGAAAGAAAGAAAAGCCCAAGAAGTTGGAGGAAAAGTATGAGTGCGTATCTTGGTACCTAAAAGAAAGAATGTTTCAAGGAGGCCTGGTCAACAGTGCCAATTTCTGATGCAAACTCAGGGAAGATAAAACCTAAAAAAGTAAATGTTGGATTTGGCAGCCAAGAAGTCTTTGATGACTATTACAAGAGCCATTTCCAAGAAAGGTGAGAGGGAAGTCAGCCTGGGATAAATTGAAAATTGGCGAAGGAAGTAGAGATATAAACTGTGGACTTCTTTTTCAGGAAGTTTGGCTCTAAAAGGAAGGAGAGAGATAAAAGAGGAGCAGGAGGGAGACAGGTTAAAGAAGGATAAATGGTATGTTTGTACTTTTTTTAATATTTATTTATTTATTTATTGGGAAAGCGCAAACAGGGGAGGGGCAGAGAGAGAGGGACAGAGGATCTGAAGCAGGCTCTGCACTGACAGGCTGACTGCAGTGAGCCTGATGCAAGGCTCACACCCACAAACCACGAGATCCTGACCAGAACCGAAACTAAGAGTTGGGTGCTTAACTGAGCCACCCAGGTGCCCCTGTCTGTATTATTATTTTTTTTAATGTTTATTTATTTTTGACAGAGAGAGAGAGAGAGAGACAGAGCATGAGCGGGGGAGGGGCAGAGAGAGAGGGAGACACAGAATTGGAAGCAGGCTCCAGTCTCTGGGCTGTCAGCACAGAGCCCGACATGGGGCTCAAACTCACAGACCGCGAGATCATGACCTGAGCCAAAGTCGGACACTCAACCGACTGAGCCACCCAGGTGCTCCTCCTGTCTGTATTATTTTAAGTTGAGATACACATGAGCAGTTATGTCAAAATTTATGATAAGGGAATTTAAATTATGCTAAAGAAAAAACTCAAAAGTATGAATATATTACCATATATCATATAGAGACATATTCAGTTCCCCCAAAAGAAGAAAATACATCAAGTTCTCATCAAGACAATCACCTAGTTACAAACATACTTAAGTCATGTTAACTCTCAAGAGCTGGTGAAATAAAGCATAAAGTGAACAAATTTTAAACCAGGAAGCAGCATGTTACAGCAGAAAGAAAAATGGATGAGAAATGACTACTATTGGAGAAAGGACCCTACACCATTCCCTCCCCTCCTACCATCAAATAGTGCAAAAAACATTCTTTGGCATTGAATGAAAGAATAAGTTTGAGCATAATATATAAAAGAAAATTAGGTAATTATTCAATAGCTTTTTAGATTTAGATATTATTCATTTTTATGGGAAACGGACATTATTAAATATTTACCAGCTTTGGAGTTTTCAGGATGCTTGTCAGGGTGACATTCCAAGGCTCTGGCTTTAAATTCCGCCAGGATTTGTTCAACCTAAAACAAAAACTGATGTTAAAAATAAGGATTCCAAATTAAACGGCATTAAGAAAGAAGTTGGGCATCATTCCTTTTCAAAACAGCCATGATCAACCCAACTTTTATTGTGATCCTTGTATTTGTATTTTGACATTTTACTCTAAGAAATAATGCCTTGATAATGAAATTCAGAAAGCATTCAATAAAAACTTCTGTCCAAATGCTGATAACAGTTTAACTTGCTACTGCATTTATTTTTTTTTTAATTTTTTTTTTTTAACGTTTATTTATTTTTGAGACAGAGAGAGACAGAGCATGAACAGGGGAGGAGCAGAGAGAGAGGGAGACACAGAATCTGAAACAGGCTCCAGGCTCTGAGCTGTCAGCACAGAGCCCAACGTGGGGCTTGAACTCACAGACTGTGAGATCATGACCTGAGCCGAAGTCAGACGCTTAACCGACCAAGCCACCCAGGCACCCCTAACTTGCTACTGCATTTAGATGATAGCCCAAGACACCTGTGAGCTCAATATATTTAAATGTCACAAATGGTCAGATAGGTTTATTCTAAGAATACATAGAAGAGGCGTTCACTCATCTAAGTTCTTCAAAAGATGCTTAGTCATCATTCATTATTCAAGGATGACTGTCTAGTTTATAAATGACCCATTATAAAGTTCCCTCGTTAGGCCTTTTGCCCCCCTCTTTTTTTTTATTAAGAATTTCACAATTAAAAGGACATAATTCAAACCTGTTAATTTTGTTACCAATTAACAGTGTAGTTGGAGATTTTGATTGGGAAAAGAGAAACTTCAGCCAAACTAATATGAAGTTTGAGAGGCATTTTGATTTGATTTGATTTCACTCAGCCATCTAAACCTTATTATCATGCATAATCAATACTTGTCTTTGTTAATTATAATTCCAATGACAGCAGCAGGAGACAACAGTGGTTATGTGGCTCCACAATATAATTTGTTTTATTTTGTTTGTTTTATATTGTTTTTTAATTTTTATTTTAAGTAGGCTCCACACCCAACGTCGGGCTCAAACTCATGACCCTGAGATCAAGAGTCACATCCTCTACTGACTGAGCCAGGCTGGTGCCCCTGATTGCTTCATTTTAAAGCCCAGTTCTGCCAGAGACTTTAGGCAAGTTGTATAACTTCCATGTGCCTAGTTTCCTTATCTTTATATTACATGAATGATAGAAATAGAGCATTTAACACAAAGCCTAATTGTAGTAAGAACTCAATAATAATAGCTAAAACTAAATGTCAGTGGTTAAGTAACTTGTCTGAAATCATTTAACTAGTTACTAAAAAAGCCAAATTTTTTGTTAACTAAGAAGTTGGACTTCAAATCCAGTAATCTTTTTTTTTTTTTTAATATTCATTTATTTTTGATAGAAAGAGCATGAGCAGGGAGGGGGCAGAGACACAGGGAGACAGAGGATCTGAAGTGAGCTCTGCACTGACAGCAGCCAGCCCCTGATGCGGGGCTTGAACTCATGAGCTGTGAGATCATGACCTGAGCCAAAGTCGGACACTCAACCAACTGAGCCACCCAGGTGCCTGTCAAATCCAATAATCTTAACCAATGGCAGAATTCTTAGGGATCTATTACCAAGTTGCATATTTACTATCCACTAATTAATGAAAGGAAAGGACCTCTTGTTTGAGAAACAAATTCTCAAGAGGCTCAGCTTAAAATTGTCATAAGACTCATGGTAAAAACATAAATTTATCAGCTCCATGTCATCCTTAATCAATCCTTGGAAAAAATTTTCTTCACTTTTATTGAGCCATGCTGTAGGGAAGCCTGGCTGGCTCAATTGGAACAGCATGTGACTCTTGATCTCAGGGTTGTGAGCTCAAGCCCCACCTGGGTGTAGAGATTACTAAAAAATAAAATCTTTAAAAAATAATAATAATAAAATATTAAAAATAAAAAATAAAATCTTTAAAAAAATAATAATAATAATAATAATAATCTTTAAAAAAATAATAATACAGCCAGGCTGTACTAGATAAGCATATGCATTAAATGCCCAGACTAATAACTATTCTTTTCTTTGTTAAGCATCTACTGGGAATCCAGTGGAATAACAGGAAGAGATAGACTTCCTTTTCAGAACTGTGATTAATTGTGTTTCCTCTTCCTAGGTGCTCCCTAGGAGTGACCTATAGTGACCTATAGTGACCATAGAGTAACCTATAGTGACCATAGAGTGACCTATAGTGACCATCAGTCACTATAAACTGCTTATATAACAAAGAAAATGAGACTGAGACTTGTCTTTAAATTTTAAAATACTAAAAATTCTAAAGATTCTAGTAGTAGTAGTAAGCATTTTTAATTAAGCTATTTATGAATTTCATAATCTCTCTTTGAAGATACTTATATCAATACAGAACAAAAAGTAAAAGTTCCTTTACCCCTCAGCCCCCCAGGATAATAGGTTTCACCCTTCAAGATACATTTTTTACACACTTATACACATATTTATGTATATATGTATTGGAGGACTTTAATAAGGTAAATGGATAAAATTATACATATCTATCAAAGGTAGGAAATTCGGAGGGGTTTTTTTGTTGTTTTATTTTTTCATTTTTATCCCATTAAGAAACATTCTAGTATAAGTCCATGGAAGCAAAGTACTAAAATGGTTAATTCTCAATAATGCTAATGTATGTGATTGTTAGTTTCTCATTTATATTTTCTTTACTTTGCCAAATTAATATTTAAAAAAATTAAGAATAGTCCATATCTGCCTTTCATTACTTTTTATAGTTTTAGTGTCACAAAATTTATTACAAATCTCCTAGGTAGGCTGGTTCTGGGTAAACTAACTGGTAAAGCAGGTTAGTTTGTCTTGGGAATGTTCCATTTATCTCCTGGCGTCCCCACCCCATGTGCTCATGCCAAGTGTAGTCCATGGACAAATGAGGCCCTCCATGTCAAGGTCCACTGAATCCTGTTTTCCTAATCCAATGTTCAATGGTCTGGAAAACTGCCTATTATGCTAGCCAATAAACATACAAACAAATGTTCAACTTTACTCATAACCAAATAGATCAAAACATCTAAGGCATGATAATGACCAGTGTCATTGAGGGTACAAAGAAATGAACATTCTCATACTCTCTTGGGGAAGGATGAAAATTTCCTGAAAATAGATATATACAGAGATCTATCTATCTATCTATCTACCCAGATATCAAAGAGTGATAGAATTGAAGATATTTATGTATATGTATATATACATAAAAGTGTATAATTTTTTTTATTCTTTGATATAACAATTCCAATTATAGAAATTTGTCTAAGGAGATAGTCAGAGGTGGGCAAATTATTTAGTTACAACAAGGTTCAACGAATAAAATGTTATAAATTTTAAACAAAACCTATGTGTCCAGTAATAAGATATTAAAGTTAACGGAAATATTTCTTAGGCTGAGATATTTTACAGTCATTAAAAAAATCATCTTGTAGGGACACCTGGGTGGCTCAGTTGGTTAAGCATCTGACTCTTTTTTTTTTTTAATTTTTTTAAACATTTATTTATTTTTTTGAGATAGAGACAGAGCATGAACGGGGAAGGGTCAGAGAGAGAGGGAGACACAGGATCTGAAACAGGCTCCAGGCTCTGAGCTGTCAGCACAGAGCCCGACGCGGGGCTCGAACTCACAGACCATGAGATCATGACCTGAGCCGAAGTCGGATGCTCAACTGACTGAGCCACCCAGGCGCTCCAAGCAGCTGACTCTTGGTCTTAGCTCAGGTCATGATCTCATGGTTGGTGAGATTGGCTCTGGGCTAATGGCTCAGAGCCTGCTTGGGATTCTCTCTGTCCCTCTCTCTCTACCCCTCTCCTGCTCATATTCTCTCTCTCACTCTCTCTCAAAAAATAGATAAATAAACTTTAAAAACTCATCTTGTAATAGAAGACTTTTAATAATCTGAGAAAAATTATATAATATAGTTCTATGAAGAAATGTAAACTACAAAGCATTATATGAGGCATAAAACCATAATGTTTTACCTTAAAAGGGATTATAATATATATATATACATATATAATAACAATAATAATAGCTAAGATTTATTAAGACTTATTATATGCCAAGCACTGTTCTAAGCACTGTGCATATAGCATCTCATTTAATTCCCACAACTCTGTGAGGTGGGTACTGTTATTATTCCCATTTTACAGATTAAGAAGTCAATACACAGAAAAGTTAAGTGGTTTTCCCAAGGCCATAGGGCTGGTAAGTAGCAGAGCCAGTATTTGAACTCAGGCAGTCTGCCTCCATACAGATATAGACATGCACATTGTAAATATTAACGCATATATGCATGTATTTACATAACACATAAATATAGCATATGTGTATACACACACATATACTCCCAGATTTTAAGCATCTAAGCTAATATTTTTCTCCATGTTCTCTTCATACCCCACATCTTCTTATTGAAAGTATATTAGTTTTTATGGAGCACCCAGTGGCTCAATCAGTTGAGCATCCAACTTCAGCTCACAGTTTGTGAGTTCAAGTCCCATGTCAGGCTCTGCATTGACAGCTCAGAGCCTGGAGCCTGCTTTGGATTCTGTGTCTCCCTCTCTCTGCCCCTTCTCCATTCACTCTCTCTGTCTCTGTCTCTGTCTCTGTCTCTGTCTCAAAACTAAAGAAACATTAAATTTTTTTTAAAAAAATATTAGTTTTAGAAATTAAACTTTAAAACTTAAAAACTTATCTTTTCCACAGCCTATTAGCACAATATTTTGATCTGTGTCAGCAAATACTCCAGTGTGCAATAGGCACTAATCCGGTTCCCACTTGGATGAATCTTCTCCAGCGTTCTCTGGCCACACAAATGCCTTCTGTCTCTCCCTCTATGTGTCTAAATTTTGACCTAGTCTGATCATTTCAAGCATCATCTCTTCTCTGAAATCTTTTCAGATATTCTTCCTGTAATTTCTGTTGCACTTACCAACAATACCGCATAGC